GTCATGACCACGAACAAAAGCATCGCGATGAGATGTAATTGTTGTATTAACCCATTCTTTTTTCACACTGTGCAAAATATTTACCCATGATTCATCCAAATACACTATGTTGTATTCTTCTGCACGGTATTTACGAATTGCACATAAATAACGATGACGCCACGAGATAATTTCTGGTTTTTCAATCAAAATTTAATTTCTGCCACGTTTTATAAACACAAAATCCATATCACTCAGCAAGCAATGTAGCGTGGCCCGTGAAAAGTTGGGCAAAGTTTCTTCGACATTTACAACAGCTAATATGGTGTTTATTGTTGGTGGTATGTTGTCACGAAAAAATTGATGAACTATTCTACGAATTTGGCCCCTGACACCTTCATCGTACTTGTTGTCACGAGAATTACCAACCTTTCGCTTCTTGGGCCTGCTCTTTGGTGATTGTAATCCAGCAAGTGATGAATATTCTGTCGTATGCGAAACAGAGTCTTTTCGCAAACACCACTCATTTCTGACACTTTCCTAATTACATTTGATACAGAATCGTTGTTATCCTGATTAAGATGATAATTAATAATATTCATTAGTATCTGCTTCTCTGAAAGTTTCAGAGCTTTTCCACGTTTCCATTGAACACTTTCCTCCATTTTGGCGTAAAAAATCGGCGTCAAATATAACAATAGCCAGCAACAGAAAATAACAATAATTGCCAACAGCAAATCACAACAACAGCGACCAATAAATAATAACAATAACAAAACAGTAACAGTACATCCAAGATGGTACAAATAATCGTAACTCGAATATGTTTACGCGCTCCGAAGAACAAATAAAGACTAATTAAGGCCCTGGATGTATCAAGCTTTTAAACATATTCTGTACAAGAATTACTCTAATTGCTTCTTAATTACTAAATAACTTAGAAGAAAGTATTTGAAAAACTTTGAAACAAATGTTTATTTAATGCATATTTTATTATACTACTGCTACTAATAAAAGAGAAAAGTTGATAAGTTACTATTAGAAACAAATAATGTATAGTATTATGTAAAATTATTAGCAAACGATATTTGTAAATTACATAAAATTGTACGTGAGGACTTGTTGACAACTCCTGGTTTATTCCGTTTTTTTTTTAAGATAAACAATAGAGAACGCCATCGCTCACTGCATAAAACTGGCAACGTGTTGGCGAAATTCCCATAAGAGTAGAGACCAAGTATAGCATCATCTTGTATATGGGATTTTAGGATGGGGTGGCGTAGCTGATTGCCATCTGGTGACCCTTCAAAATACTCAGAAATGGTTTCTTAAACTAATATATGGAAAACGAAAAACATATCCCTCAGACCAACTTTTTCATGAAACTCAGGTTCTTGATGTTCGGCAATTGTACTGCTTAGAGCTACTTAAAAATATTCATAAAGATAAAATACCTCTTAAACTAAAAGTGTCAAATTATGAAACAAGAAGAAAATTGAATGTTGAATGTCTTCACACTTCAAAAACAATCACGCAACGGTCAATTAAATATTTTGCTCCAAGAATATACAATCAATTGCCCATAAATTTTAGAAATATCAAAAATTTTTATTTGTATAAAAAATTAGTTAATGCTTGGGTAAAACAAAAAAGGGAGTTGTGTAACAATTTAATAAATTTAAATTATACTAGATAAAAAAAATCGAAACAAATTAGATTAGATTAGAAACTGTAAAAATGAAATAATAATTTGTAAAAAAAACATTAAACCTGTTAATATTAGACAGATTAAGTCAACAAGCATGTTAATGCTTTAAAGACTTTTTTACGTTTATGTTACTGTAAGTAAACTGAAATTGAAATTGTAAATTAATGTAATACTTATTGATTTGAATAAACGTATATATTATATCTGAGGGCTAACAATACAGCAGTGCTCATAGAATGAAGGATATGCCTCAGATAAACAGGACGGATCCACTAAATGCAAGTAACCGGACAGCGCATTAATGAAAAAAAGAATATATTAAGGATAGCCACTTAAAACAGAACTCACTAAAGAACTCATTGATGCACAGATAGATACATGTGCTATCCAAGAAACGAGGAAAAAAGGAAAAGGCCTGTTAAATAAAAAAACAGCTTATTAATTTTACATTTTCCTAATTTTCTATCGATTATTCTTTCTTTTCATTTTTTATATAATTTATATTAATATAACGACCCTTTATTTTTATTCATTATTTTGTTTTTATCCTAAAAATCAAAATAATTGGCGCTCAAATTATACTTTTTATTTTCTGTCTTGAGTTAGCTAATTTGATCCTATCTCTCCTAATAATATCCCAACGTATATGATATGCTTTCTATCTCTATTCCCTATCCCTTTAACACGTTGAACGCCGCGCGAATCATATACGATTCACGCTTATTTTTACTTACAGGGCCGCGCGAATCACAATTGCTTCGCATGGATCGTTATACTGTGGGCACCGCCGCTCGTAAGTGATTCGCGCTGCAATAATAAGTATAATATGGAAGTTTGAAGTTAGTAGCCCCTCAACAAGTATTTTTGATTAGCACGGCCTGCAAGTAATAAACCGTACTCGATATTGCCTAACATTATGGTTGTTCATTTCTGTCCTTTTACACCATTATGTACTCTAGATAATATGGTAAATAAAAGTAATATACACATTAGTTTTACAAAATGCTTTATTTCTTCAACAATAGAAGAAACTGCTCACAAGGAGAATAATATAAATATAATACCGAAAAAGTGTTTGTATAGAAGAAGTATCGCATTCTATATAAACGCCTATAGAGTACAATTGTGAAACAACTTACACAATAGAATTTGTCACATTGAACATTTCCATTTTGTCTGAAGTCCGTCTTCGAACTTCGACAAACAATTCTTATAGCAAAATACGCATCTGCGACGATTCTTTGTTTCTACTTCTTCCAAAATATGCTTTTATCCAGACGAAGATCTTTCCTTTGGTTTTATGTGCAGTAAATCTTTTGGTATTTCTTCTCTGAACTGAGTTATGGTAATATTACAGCCCGTTACTTTTTTATATAATATGCATGCGTTTACAACTGCTGATCCAAGGAGAATTTCAATGGCCATTTTCCGATACCACTTTATAGTTTTTCTATAAGAAGACAGGAAGCATAAGCCTTTATTTGGTCGGACAAATCTATGAAACTTTGTTTTTATTGTAGTCGATGACAACTTTTCTTTCACAGTTCTATTTCTTGACGTTACTGGTAGCATTATTTCCGTATGTTTTGTTGACAACATCAGAACTTCGCGTTTATCACACTACTTTATTACTACAACTCCTGAGTCACTTTCTGCACCAATTACCTGCCCATTTTTTTAGCTTTTTTTCAATAATATTTTTTGGATCTCCCTTTCGATTTCTTCGCAAGGTTCCGACAAGGTGTGTTTGTCGTTCTAAAATTTATGTACTAGTTCAATACTCGTGTAATAGTTGTCAAAAAATACAGTACGGCCGCAGTCAAGAAACCCGTCACATAGTCCTAAAACAACCGAACTGGGAACACTAAGTACACTATTAGTTTTCTCGGTACCACAATAGATTTTAAAGTCATAAGTGTACCCATCTTCTATGCACAATTTAAAGAATTTTACACCAAACTTATGCCGTTTATTTTTGATCAATTGTAGGAAAGATAGCTGACCACGAAAGGGAACTAAAGTTTCGTCTATACAAATGTTACCAGACGGCGTTATAGAGTTTTGAAATTTTTGTCGGATGTGAGCTATGAGCGGTTTTATCTTATACAGTCTAGCAAGAAGCGGAAATGTTTTCAAATTGTTACCTGTGATTGCACTCCACTGTAAATTGCTAGAACTCGTATCTCGAACAAGTATCTCGTCTGACGAAGAATCATCCATTGTAATTTCTTTATAACACCCTCAATGATTTCATTAACGTGAGAAGAATGACTTGTACTTAGACCTAACTCGTCAACTTGCCTACTGCTTTCATTTACCAACCGCTGTTGGTCAGCTACTTTCGAAGCCAAACAAATGTCTTTTTTTGTACGGCGTACTTTTTTTTCTTCCTTACAGGCGAGCAATGTTCAGAAGAAGAGATATCACTATCACTATTTACATAACTTTCCGATGAATATCCGAATGTTTCTTCATCTACAAAATTTCGTTCATCATTTTTTCAAGTTGAATTGGTCGCGTGGTGCATACTTGCTTCGCGGTTCAAAGTACGATTTGGAAAAAAAATATTGATGTAACATGTTTATGTATGGAATATTCATGACATATAAATATGTTTCAGTAAAAAATATCCTCGGCCCCGAAAATCATTTATATTAATATTACGGCATTCAACGTGTTAAAGGTCGATTCAGACACATCAGTCACGTCTCGTCACCATCTCGTCACAGTGATTGCGCCGAATCGAACAATCCGTCATACAAAATATTCTTTAATACAAATACAATATGGCGCCGGCATTCACACTCATCAGTTGACGAACAATTTGCCAGCTGTCAGATAGTTGATAGTTCTGTGACCAAACAGGACCGGTTCGGTACCGTGACTGTGACGTGACTGATGTGTGTGAATCGACCTTTACTCATAATAACATTATCATAGAATAAGAAAGCAATTGCTATTTGTTCTATGTCAATATTCTAACAAAAAAGATGAGTGGCTGTAAGTTTGGACTGTAAAGGCCAATATAGAACCATGATGGCAAATTTCAAATTTCGAGCCTGACCATAATCACAGAATAAAAACAATTTTTTTAATCTAGTTTAAAAAATATTTATGAAAATAGTTTTTAATATAATTTTTTAAGTATTAAAATTTTTGAGAAATTTTAACTTTTTTGAATAATAAAACAAAGTTGACATATGTGACGGTTTGTGTGACTTTGACAACTATATCAAAAGATTGGAATTTCCCGGTTTGGGCATGCGTGTTTTGAAATTTTGTGTTCCTTCAGTTTTCGTCCACGCGTGTCAAAATGGCGAAAAAGAAACCAGAGGATAAAAATAATCAAAGCGATGATGATACAAAAAATGAGAGTGATTACTCGTCAAACGAAGAAGAACCAAACTTCAGTGATCCTGAAGACTACGAAGACGATGTCTCTGATGAAGGTATTTACTCAAAATTTTATTATGAAAATTGCTGCTCCATGCTGTTCTATCAACATTTTTTTTTAAATACCTAAATGTTTGTAATGTTATTTCGGTAATTTAGTGACCCGTATGTAAGAAAAAGTTGCCAATATAATATTAAATGAGTTTTATCTTATTTATTTGACAACATATGCCAAATATAATTTTAGGTTAGGTCAGGGTTTGGAAGGTGTGCCTTTCCTGTAAATGTTACATATTTAAAAAATATAAATATTACTAAACCGTCTCTACGCCATTCCATTTATCCCATGTTTCTAATATATATTCAAATATAAATACTGTTGACAAATAATTGATGTTTTCTTTGTAGAACTCTTAGGCGACATTCTAAAAGATAAGCCTAAGGAAACTGATGGAGTAGAAAGTGTTATAGTAGTAGATGGAGTTCCTCAAGTAGGTCCTAATCGTATTGAAAAGTTGAAGTCAGTTATTGTTAAAATATTTGTGAAGTTTGGAACAATAGTAAATGAATTCTACCCTGTCAATAGTGAAGGCCACACCAAAGGTTACATTTTTATAGAATATGCCTCACCATCTGAAGCTGCTGAGGCTGTTAAGCTAACTAACAATTTTAAATTGGATAAGCATCATACCTTTCAAGTTAACCTCTTTACTGATTTTGCTAAGTATGACCAAATTCCCAATAAGTGGGACCCTCCAGAACCACAACCTTACCAAGGACAAGGCGATTTGCATTCTTATTTATTGGAACCTGATGCATATGATCAATTTGCTGTAGTTGTTGCACAAACACAAGCTGTGCAAATTTGGCAGAATACACAGCCAGATCCTAGTCTCATTGAAGCTAGAAGTGTAAGTAAAAATTAATTTTTTTAGTTAGTGTAAATTCTTGATCATATGTGACCAAAAATGTAATTAGGAGAAGATATGTTTATGATTTGCCATTGCTAGTATAAAGTTTATGAACATACATATTCATTTACAAAAAAACCATTTAAAGACATTAAAAATGCAAATAAATGATAATAAAATAAAATATTAATTCAAAAATATTTAACAGTGAGAAAATCAAATATTTATTATGTGGAATACAGGACTGATTTTCCTCATGAACATTCTGAATTAATTTTATACTAAAATATTATTCCAATTATATCGTCCCTACCATTTCCAACTATCGAATGTGAAAAGTGGTACTTTTCAGGAGAGCAAAATAACTCTTTTTTAGAGAATTCTAAATCAGCGCTTTGACAAATGGAAAATTTTTTATATTTTTAAAAATTAATGTTTGATCCTTGTTAGATTGATATCAGAATAAAACTGCTTACCGTTTGCTTCTTTCCACAAAATCACATTCGTTATTTTGCTTTTTGTGTTAATCAACGATTTGTTTTGGTCCAATGTTTTAAAATTGCGAATGTGGCATTTTCGACAGTTCATATTTGTATAATTTTAGCACATTTATTTGGTGCAATGTTTCACAATTGCGAATGTGGCATTTTCGACAGTTCATATTGGTCTAATTTTAACACATTAATATTCTTAATTGAAAAGGAGGAAAATGAAAATAATCTTAATGTTCTTACAAAGTTTATTACAAAATATTTAATTAAAAATTTAAGTTATATGGGTAAAATGGAAAAATCATGTATAAAGAAATTATTAAAAGTATTTTTATGAAAGTACGTATTGATCGAAAACTAATGTAATTAGAAAAGTTAAAAATAATCACAATACAATTATGGAACTTCACGTCCTGTAGATACCTCAAGTAATCAGTAGTAAAATAATGATAAATTAAAGTAAAGTCTTAAATTTTAGATTCAACGTTATCATTGTCTTCAGTTGCGTCAGGTTCTGGAAGACAATCTCTGGCAGTATTAGATGTTGGTAAAGATTGGTAATATTGGTGGTATGGCCTAGGTACATAGTGACAAGAGGTTTTTTTTCTTCACATCCGTGATTGAAAGTATTTCGTCGTATGCCTTAACAAAGTTTATACTATTTTGTTTGCCTCTTTTTTGTATGGTTTCAAGAGATAAGAAGTTTCCGTCAATGCTAGTCTTCATGTAAAGTTTGTTATTTTCATTTTTCCGATACTGGTACCATATACACTGTGTGGACGACGTCCCAAAGGCAGCATTCTTTAATATTTTTTTAAATAATTCTCGCTTTGACAACATCACTGTTTTTGGTTTAGCTATACCCAGTTAACTGAATAATCAGATAATGAAAAACCGATAAAAACAAGATAATAAGGTCCTCACCGAAAGAACTTCTTGGAAGAAATAATTCACACAATTATTGTGAATACGTGCGTTTTGTTCTTGTCAGCAATGTTTAGTATTTTTAACATTTTGCAAATTATAATTGAATAACTGTATCAATTACAACTCTGAAACTAATGTATGTAACACATTAAAAAACAAAATAATTAAGTGCCTCACCGAAAGAACTTCTTGGAAGCAATAATTCACAAATTGTGAACACGTGCGTTTTGTTCTTGTCAGCAATGTTTAGTATTTTCGACAGTTTGCAGATTATAATTGAATAACTGTATCAAATACAACACTGAAGATAATGAATGTGACACATTCGTCATTTTGCATTGTACATATATATGCCTTTAGTTATATTTATACAAAACAAAATATCGAATATTCCATTTTCGTCAGTTTGCAGCATATTCGATATTTTGACCAAAACAAAATGACAAAATGTTCATATTCGATGGTTTAGACAGAATATTTCCCGCGTTTCTGATCAAGCTACGATTTCGATATTTTGCTACAAGGTGTATCACGTTTAATGCAAGGACAAGGTATCGAATCTGAAAAAACCCGATTTTTTCACATTCGATAGTTGGAAATGGTAGGGACGATATATAGACAAAATATGTCTTATGTTTTTCAGATACATAGACCCTTTTAATGCATTGCTTTACATATTGACAGGGAGCAAGATCAATGAATACAGTAGGTCTGTATTTTCCATCAGCTTTCATAAAATGAAAATAGTAATTTTAGATCTGCCTTTCATAACAAAATCCATTTTCAAATATAATTTTTGACAAATATCCCTTATTTTTATGGTTCTACTATGAAGTTTTATTCAAATTGTTGTAAACCAATAAAAATTTATGACTTTCTGTAACTTATTAAGGATTGTAATTCATTTAGCTCCCCACTACATCTGATTGGCTAATATTAAGTAATCATCATACAATCCAGCATTGCACTTCAAGATGCTCAAGAGCTTCTACTATTGTTTGTCTTTTTTTAAATTAATATTACACAACTGGCGCAAAAAAGTAAAAACTAGTTTTTAAAAGTAACACTTATCCATTCATACACTTGTTGATTATTTATATTATTGCTACAGGATTATTTTTTGGTTTCTTCTTCTTCACAGGCTTTACAACTCGGGGTGAGTCTTCACTGCATCCACTACCGCCATCCATCATCTACAATCTTGTGCTTCTATTTCCCATTGTTGTACCCCAATTCTAGATAATTCGGTTTCAACATCATCCTTCGATCTTTTTCTCAGTCGGCCTACTGATCTTCTACCATCTGGTCTTTCAAAAAACACTGTCTTTAACATTCTGTCATCCTCTGGTAGTACCACGTGACCTGTCCATCTTATTTGTTTTGCCTTGATATGTCTAACTATGTTTTCAGTTCCATACAGAGTCATCAATTCAGAATTGCGTTTAACATCATAGTAACATTTAATCAAAAGTACAAAGGAAAATATTGTTATAATTAGTGATGGTCAGAATCAATTACTTATGGGAATCGAGTAGAGTAAGGAATCAGATACTTTATTGAGTACTGAGTACCAAGTACTGTGGATATCAGATTTTTAATAATTTCGACAAAGAAATAAAATCATTCTAGATATATCACAAAATATAGGACATATCTGTAGAATTATTCTAATAAAAAAGTGTTTAAATATATTATTTGGGATAATTAAAGTAATTATTTAGCTAATAACAAAACTTTCAGTATTCTACTATTGTTTAAAAAATAAAAAACAGTTTAAACATTAAGGTATTGGGTGCGGGAAAACTAGCACAGAAGTGTTGTTTACCAAACTCAATGTCCTCAACAAGTTATCATCTGGACTGGCATTTTAACTGTTTTGATACTGTTACAGTAAAAGAAAGATTTTCATTTGCAGCTTTGATGAGCGAGCACCATTCTATTATGCAAATTAATCTCTATCATTCAGGTTCTGTCACTGTACATTTTTAAGTATTTACATGTTTAAAGAGCTATAATCGTAATTAATATTATGTTTCTATTCTGATGCCGTACATGCATTCAGCACATCCCTCTAGCACTGTACTTCCTGAATACTGTTTTTTGAAGTTTTATGAAAAAAAAATCCACTACTGCGATAAAATGAATATAAACAAACTGTCGACAAACGAAAAACGGTTCAACCACTTTTATATAAAGAATGTACACTGATACTTGGCCTGTAGCGAAAGGGTTAAGAGATGACATAATAGGTCCATTTTTTATTGAAGGCAACTTAAACAGTAGAGTATACCTCAATTTGTTACAGAATCACATTTTTCCCGCTATTCTCAATCTTCCTGATGTTAATCTGGAGAATGTTTGGTTCCATCAAGACGGCTGTTCAGTTCACAACGCTCAAATAATTAGGGAGTATTTAAACAATACTTTCCTGAATCGAGTTATCAGTGAAACAGGTGATATTAAGTGGCCAGTGCGATCTCCAGATCTTACATTCATATACTTCTTTTTTGGGGACATATAAAAAGCATTATCTATGATCGTCCTGAGGCTAGAGCCCAAAATTTGGATGAATTAAGAAACCAAATAAGAGAACTCTCTAATTCTATTACAGCAGAAACTCTTACATATGTCCGCAGATGTTTTTATGACAGATTGGGATACTGTTCAGCCATCAAATTCAAATATTTTAATCATTTCTGTAGGGCATAAAGAATTATTTCTTATTTTATTAGGAATTATTTTTTATTTTCGATAGAGTATATTTTTTGTTTTATCTTTTAAAAAAAATGCGCTTTTATTTTTAATTCAACCACAAAAAATTGTTCACATTATTAAAACCGATACAAATGTACCACCTTATTATGGTCAATGTATTTTTATCAAGTTTATGTTATAAGAAATGAACCGGGTATACATTAGCAAAACAAAAATTGACAGACGGAGGTGGATTTGCATATCCCTTGCGTTGTTATGTGTTACTAAATGGTTTTATCGTTTTCTGTCTAGGTGAATTAGAATTACTTCTTACGCGGCAATGTTGCCGATTTTAGCACTTTATGTATTTACAATATCTAATCCAAAACTTAACTACTGTATTAATAACTAATGCTGAAGAAATTGCATAGCACTTTTCAATTGCCCTTAGTAAATACTTTAGAATTAATATAATAACTAATTCCAAAAAAATTTAATTTTTTTAGAGCTGGAGTCAAACTTACATAAAATGGTCACCTCTGGGGACATTCTTATGTACCTTTCACAGGTTGGGTGTTGCACTGTGGGCAGGACCTGGATTTTTGCAATACAAAAAATTTACTCATTCAAATGTTCAATTCATTGATTTCTCACCATGTGAAAAGTATTTAGTGACTTATTCCCCACAAGGAGACCCACATAATCCAGAGCAGAAGAGGATCATCATTTGGGATATTAGGTAAGGAGTTCTTAAAGCACTTATGTCAATATTTCACATAAAACTTTTGAAGAGAACTGAGTTGTGGGTGTGCAGTGGTAAAATTCGAAAAAGTGGGAAAGCCATTCTCTCTGAATTCACAGTAAAGTTACATTCATATAATTAGCCAACAATTTTTACTCATTGTTGTAACATTGTGATAGAAATAATCAAAAAATTTATTATTTATTAGTATTTATTAGTATTTATTACCTTATTCAGACTTATCATGTTGTCCTATTTACCCACAGGACATTCCCTATTAGCCATTGGGATGTGTTATATCGAGAATGAGTACTTGTCCATCCAGTCTTTTCTGCATCAAATACTGGAGATCTCACTCACAGTATCAAACCAGCACAAGGCTGAGACTTTAATATAGTAACTTACTTTTATTTCTGTATTAAAAGTAGAAATCAAAAGGGAAAGTCATTAGGCTGGAAAGGAGCTTGGGATTTCAAAGAACAAATTTTTGTGTTGAAAAAATGTTGAAAATGTTTGGCCTTATGCTAGAAAGTTTGTTTCAGCTAAGAAAAAAGATTTTTTGAAAATTTTAGAGTGGCATTACTCCTTAACAGATTGGCGTGTACTGTCATTTGTAAGCTGTTAAATGATTATTGTACATAATGATAAAAAATATTTTTCTGAATAATCTATTATGTGCCACATGTTTATCGAACAGCTTTTTTTAAGTTCCATATTAATCTACTATCTTTTCAATTTAGGACAGGTCTTGAAAAGCGTTCATTCAATCCAGAAGGTCCATCGGCATGGCCAATCTTCAGGTGGTCTCATGATGACAAATATTTTGCTCGTATTGGTTCAAACAATGATGCCCTTCAAGTATACGAAACACCATCTTTTGGTCTTTTGGATAAGAAATCAATCAAAATTAACGGCATAAGAGATTTCAATTGGTCGCCAACAGATAATGTTGTAGCTTATTGGGTAGCCGAGGACAAAGATGTGCCTGCAAGTGTAACTCTGTTAGAATTGCCAAACAGGAATGAAATTAGGAAGAAGAATTTGTTTAATGTTGCTGACTGTAAGATACACTGGCAGAAGTCTGGAGATTACCTGTGTGTCAAGGTAGACAGGTATTCAAAGGTTCGCAAGGAAAAGAATGAAACCAAGTATTCAGGTATGTAATAATAAAGTTTTCGTTAAGATGTCTTATTTAATGTTTCTATGTGCTTAAGGGATCTTGTAATACTATATAGTAATATATAGCCTACTTTGTTTTAGTTATTAAATTATGACTTTTCCATTTGTCTCCAAATTTACAGTACTGTAACTATTTAATATATCCATATGAATATATTAAATTACATGAACATTTTATTTTTTTACTTCTACATTCTTCATAAAAAAACGTCTTCATTAAAGTATAGATCATCAATAAATCACAACAACATACTTATCAAATTAGAAATTGTGATGCTCTTTTGTCAGATTTCAGTGGTCTCAAAAGATCCATAAATGGAACCAAATGTTGTAATACAATTTTGTAACTGTATCCCAATATCCAATATCCTTCAAAAGTCTTGATTTGAAGCAATTTAAGGGACAAGTTAGATATTATCTTCTGGTGGGTCCCTTCAATTCATTTGAGGAGTACCTCAAATCTAATTTTAATTTTGTCCTGTAATTGAATTAAATGTGTTTTAACTTTGTCAATGTAAATATATACTTATATACATTTTTTAATTTTTTTACTTACTTAGTGCTGACTTGTAAAAATTGTGACGTTTTTTGTATATTATTACAATAAATACTCTAATCTACTCTACTTAAGTCTCAGGAAATCTTAGTAACTTTAAAAAAGTGTTTTGATGTGTGGATAATCTTTACATACAGACATGAAAAATGAAGCAATTCAAATAAAACCGTAAGTAAAAGAAAGAATGGCTAAACTTCAGCGGTAGAAGCCAGTTATGCAGCTCAAATCTCTGATAGGTGAACACACATTGACTGTTGGTTCCTATATCAACTGAAATAAGAAGAAAAATAAGACCCCAGAAGAGATGGTGTAGCAATAGCGAAAGTATTACTGGAAAAAATTGGATTGAGATTGCTTTAAACATATAGATTGAAAGAATTGAAAGAAGCTTATATCTAGAATAGGCACTTAAAGGGTGAGAAGAGTGAGAAAGAACTCCTCCAGATATTATTTTCACAGATGCCACAAAATATTTTTCTCAGAATATATTTTTTTCAAAGATGAGTAAATGATTATTTTTAGATATTTACTAGGGCACTAATTATTTGACATTTGTATTACCCTGTGATACAGTATTGTGATTTTGGCAATTTTTTTCTCTATACTTTTAATCCGAAACTATTAATAACTCATGCTGTGAAAAATATTTCTTTAATTTTGTTGCATGGCTGTAAATACTCCTCCTTATTAATAATTATATATTTTGAAAATTTCTAGGTATGTACTGCAACTTTGAAATATTCCACATGAAGGAGAAGCAAATACCTGTAGACAGCGTAGAGTGCAAGGAACCAATTCAGGCATTTGCTTGGGAACCAGTTGGTTCTAAATTTGCAATGATACATGGCGAATCCCCTAGCATCAGTGCTAGTTTCTACGAGGTTAGAGTAGGGCAGGCTCCCATTCTTCTGAAGAAATTTGAGAAAAGAGCATGCAACCATTTGTTCTGGTCTCCTAGTGGGCAGTTCATTGTTTTAGCAGGCTTAGGTTCCAATGGAGGTGGATCGTGGATTTGTTGACACTCATGAATTTTTAATCATGAACACTACAGACCATTTCCAATTGTCAGATGTAGAGTGGGACCCAACTGGAAGATACGTAATAACTGGAGTCTCATTTTGGAAAACCAAGGTTGATACAGGTAAGAAAAAGATTCGAATGTAATTTAATTTTGTTATAAAATATATGAAAACGTTGACAATAAAACAAAATTAGATCTAGATATATGGGAAAGACGTCTATCGGAAGAGATGAAAGGTGCTACAGTGCTGTCATTATTACAATTTTTGTATTTGTGCATTAATTTTTTCTTTGCACCAGCCTCATAATTTTCTATCCACATCTATTTCATTTTGATCTTCACGTTGTTCCTTTGTACCACTTATCACTCATTTATAAATCAAAACTTTTATTTATCTTTGTTCTCTATCTCTATCAGTTTTATGATAATCAATGGTACTTGCCTGTTGTATAGTACATATATTGCAACTTATACTTGAAATTCTGTCGAAGTCCTTTTCTAACACTACAGAACATAGGCTGATTTGTTTTATTATATAATTTTTACAAAATTATTATACTAGTGCTGTAAAATATAGTTACCTTTAGGTACTCATAACTATTCGTTACTTTTTCAAAAGTAATTGTTACTTAGGATTCGTTACTCGAGTACTCGTTTTTAATTAATTACTATTTAACTGGGAATAAGCCACAATTAAAGGTTAAAGTACGTTTATTGACGTTTCAATTTCACTACTCGTTTTTAAGTTTGTATTTTGGTTGCCTAATGTCAACAATTACTTTTTCGATATAAGGTTGAATGCTGGAATAAATGAACTATGATCAAATAAAAAGGAAGATATCGAGCACAGTTTATTAATCAAATCTTGCCGCCAAGTACTTTCGCTTCTAGAGCATCTTCAGAGGCATTTAGTCAATTTTGGCCTATCCAACAATTTGTGGAGAATGTCATAAACATTAAATTGTACACAAGGGCAAACAGTTTATTTTAAAAAAGGAAAAGCTACATTATGGTTAGCGTTGGGAGAGAGGTGCATCTCTATTAGAGAATTTAAATCGTCTTTAAATCGTAACAATTTTTTTAATAAAATAATTATTATGTTTATTCCTGATTTATTACTGTTACAATTTCTAATGATTGTAATGGAGAGTCACTCAGGATACAGAAAAAATGCTTGGTAAAGGTGTGTAAAGATAATCTTCATATTATTTTTATGAAATTTAAGTAGTGACATTTCTTACCAATAAATTAGACAAATTGCCTTTTTTATTTTCGTTGTATTTCTATTCTGACTATTCTATTTCCAACTGATTTGTTCGATGCCTCTTTAACTCTTCCTCTGTGTTTATGCTCTACTAGTCTCAATATAGTAATTCTTGCAATCAGTTCTTTTAATACGAGCCCTAACAACTATATGTTGGAACAAGCAGATATTTTGCGAATATAAAATACAATTTACCGAAATTCTTTTTTTTTTAATTGTAAATATGGTATTAACAACATTTTTTTTTTATTATTTATGGAATTATTTTTACAGTTTAATTACATATTTTATGTGATTACTGTTTAATTAATTGTTTGTTAGTCAAAAAGTGTTGACATCTAAAAATTGGAACAACAAAGATTTTTAACAAATTAAAATAAAAATTAATAAGGCGTAACATCGTCCTTAGCCTGGATAACAGTCTGTATTGGACATTGTATAAACTAGACCTTCACAGAATTCATGGGTGCACTATCCAATATTTCTTACAATTTAGCACATAATTGGGCAAGGTAAAGATCCGGGCTACTAGGAGGATGTGAGAAAACTTCAATGTCATGTTATCCCGTCTATATTTTGGTAGATTTAGCGCATGGCATGAGGCTCCGTCTGCTGAAAGATAAAATCTCCGGATGAATTTAACTTTGCCGCGCTTGATAGACACGAATGTTCAAGGATACCTTGATATTTGGCTGCGTTTACTGTTGGCCTCAATAAAATGTAAAGTTCCCAACCCTTTACAGTTCTTTAGAGACAATCAAACCAAAATTATGGAATGCTTCTGTTTTTTCCCTAATCACACATCAATTTGCTTTTGTTCTATATATAAAGTTTGTTACCAGTGCTATTACGTTTGGTCTACCAAAGCAAGACCGTAGTTTGAGTTTCCTATTAAACATACCTTATAAAAACAAAGGCCGCTTTTGTAGATATATTTGCGACATGATTCTCTGGAAACATTCATCCAGTTTCTCTATTCTTCTATTAGTTACTTCTCATAGTATATTTCGTCTTCATGTCTTACATATTCTGATATAAAATGCCTTACACTCCTTTTGGATATGGGAAATAGCTTTTGGACGGACTGTGCGAACATCAATACTGGCAGTTTCACATATTTCTTAATTATATTAATTACAGTAATTCTTGGGACAGTTAATTCACTGGAAATTTCATCATTGTATTCCCTTTATAGTACTAATGAATAATAATTTCTCGAACATCTGGATCAGTATGTTTTCCACGGGCCATTATTATATTTTACTTGTAATAAAACTGACGGTTGTCTTTATTCATTCTCAAATGACGCGTGAAAATTATTGTTGACAATGCACTACTATCATGTTTGATTTTAAAGCCTTCTTTGCGTCAAGCTGATAAAATTTAAGAAACTAAGGAAACGAAAAAAATGTTCCAATATTTAGTTGTCAGCAATCTTTCGATTATCAAACAATTAATTCAAAAATAATCAATATAAAATATATAATTAACTCGCAAAAATAAATCCATATATCATAAAAAATATTGATAATTTCATATTTACAATTAAAAAAATAATAAATAAAAGAATTTTGGTAAATTGGCATTATATTCGCAAAATAACTGCTTGTTCCAACATATAGTTGTTAGGGCTTTTAAATCCAAAGTAAATGCATCGTAATTTTATATTAAGTTACTTTGTTTTGTTTTAGTTAATCTATATTAAGATTTTTCGTGTTTTTGTTTCATTAATTGTATTTTTTATTTGTTAGGCACGTGGTTGATAACAAGTTGTAATATCTCCATTTTGTATGAAAGATTTTTTAATGTCCTATGTTACACATGCCCATGAAAGGGTTAATTATTGTGTATTTATTTTTCTACAGGTTATTGGATTTGGTCCTTCCAAGGAAAAATCCTGAAGCGTATCAATTTGGAGAAGTTCTCCCAGATTCTCTGGAGACCTAGACCACCATCATTACTCAGCGATTGAAAAGCAAAAAGAGGTCAAGAAGAGCCTAAAGAAATACTACCGCAATTCGAGAGCAAAGACAGGATGCGGACAATCCAAAGCTTCCAAGGAACTTATCGAGAAGAGAGCTGCTCTTATGGAGAAGTTCCAAGCCTACAGAGAGGAGAGGATCGAGGAGTACTTGGATCAAAAACCAAGGCGTTTGCAGCTTAGAAATAGTAAGATCATTAATAAAATTAAAAATCATAGAAAAGTTTGTTTGAAAAAAAGTCCTAGTCCTGAAAAAATCTTGTATAATTTTGTTCTATTATTTACTGGTTTACCTTTGATTGAGTTTTAGCTGGATCAAATTTTGTACTTTATTTTTCCGTCACATTCGCGATAATAAATGATGATAATTACATTGCGTGTCGTTTAAAAAGAGGCCCCTTAAGAATTTTTCAAGTGCTTATGCAATTTATTCTAATGTAACTAAACTCCCACAATGCAGACACATTTTTAGGCACCACCAAAGGTCAATTAAGGGTAATAAGTTCGCATAATAAATCAGTTTTACGATTTCGGAAATGCACATGTTGTTTTTTTTTTGGAATATGGTTGTTCTGTTTTTCAAAAATCTTTCATTAGTTGTACAGTTGTGCAATTTTTAAATTTAAAATTATGGATGAGAGATTTTTCTAGGTTTGTTCATAATTGTTACTTGAGTTATAATAGAATGAGCAAGAGAAGTGGGCAAACAGCTTGGAATCAGTCGTTGTATGGTCCAAAAAACATACCAATAATTCGTAGAGACTGTATCTCACAAACAATGACCAGGATCAGGCGCGAGAAAAGTCACGACGGCCAGAGAAGACCATTCTTTACAAAGGTCTTTGCAAAAATCGGTTCTTTACGACCAGGGCTAGAGCAATCCAAAACCGTTTTCAAAATGATCACGAGTGGACATTAAGTACTTCTACAGTGAGAAGAAGGTTGAGGGAATTTGGTCTAAGGGCTCGTTGTCCTGGAACAGGACTTTGTTAACAGCAGCACATCGACACATGTCAATTAAATTTGCTAGAGACCATAAGCATTGATAGAAGACAATCGGACCAACAGAAGATTGAAAAATTGTTTTGTTTAGTGAGTGAGTAAAGAATGGTTCTTTATGGTTCAAGTGGTGGCTCAAACGTTACAGAAGACTATAGGAAACGATATGCTGGCTTGTGTTCGAGAGCACGTGTTGCTTTTGGAGGAGGCTCGGTAATGTTTTGGGCAGGCAATTCATTCGAAGACTGTACTGATCTGGTGTTTATCTATAGAGGAGCGTTGAATACCATTACCGATATTCTAGACGAGCATGAAGGGGTAAACTTTATTTCATGCAAGACAAGTAGCCAAGATGGGAACGCAATACCTGGAAACCGTCGGTGTGCCAAAAATGAATTGGCCAGCTCAAGCTCAGATTTGAACTCAATTGAGTATGTTTGGGACCAACTCAAACGAAGAGTAAGAAACAAAATACCTGCTCCAATAAATCGTGAGCATCTCGGTGGCGTTCATGGAAGAATGGGAAGCGTTTCCTCAAGACAACATCCATAATTTGATCAATTCAATGTCAAGTCGAATAAGGAGTGTTAATTAAAAATAGAGATGGTAATACAGAATATTAAATATTATCATCATCATCCAGCCTCAAGAGTCCACTGCTGAACAGGCCTCTTCCTCATGTTTTCCAACCCCGTCTATCTTGCGCCGCTCTTATCCAGTTTTTTTTGTTTTCTTAAATCGTCAGTCCATCTTGTAGGTGGTCGACCGACGCTTCTCTTGTCTTCCCTTGGCCTCCATTCCAATAACCTCTTTGTCCATCGCCCATTAAATATTATGACCTTTATTGTAATTTTTATAAAGAAAACAAAAAATTTA